GATATCTTTATTTACCATTTAAGATAATACCTGCTTTTTACATGAAAAAATTATGAATTTATGAAAATCAACACTATTATGAAATATTTGTAAAATGGAATGACTTTTGTTATGGCGTCGTAAAAAAAGAAAAAGGGGCAGGGGGTTAACTCTGTACTTAATATATTTTAGTTTAGGAAAGGGGATTACCTTGGAAGTATTGTGATACAGACAAGTATATAATGTAGTGGATTAGTGGTAACTGAATTGTATGTATACCACAGTAAAATAATAAATTTTCAAAAAAAAAAAGGTTTTTGCTGATGTCATCCAGTGTTTACTTATGAAAGAAAATTCATATTCAGCTAACATTTTCACCGGTACCACTGAACTAATTTAAGTCAACTAGGTTCAAATAATAAGCATCATTAGAATTACAGCACATAAATTTTTGAAAAGAATTTCTATACTCTATTTTTTCTTGGGGGGGGGGGTTATTGGAAAGAAATGAAAACCACAATTTAGAGTTTTGACAAAACCTAGAACCAATTGACCTTTTTATTACAAGTTTATAAATTTAAAGAATATCTAAAATCAATACCGTCTCAAATTTGTGTTGTATACTTCTGTTTTTAGAATGAAATTCGCCACTTTGAAGCCAAACTCGGAAAGAAGCAGAAACAGAATTGGATGGGCTGATATAGAATTAGACAGGAAAAACGTGTAAATAATACATTTAGTAAAAATGTTAACTTTTAAAAATAAAATGATAAACTAAACCATTGAGATCTCTTGGAATTTAATTGATTCCAATAAACATGCTTTGCATTCATCATCATTGCTCAAGCTCAACTAGAAATGGTTCTTAGTAAGTATCTGAAGGCAAAGCTGTATAATATTATTACATTTTAATTTTATCACTTTTTCAGATTATCATTATGAGAATACATCATTACAGTACAGACCATTGGTGCTGGAAGTGAGTGGATAGTGTTACCGGAGACTCAGGGATCCAGAAAATAGATCCATAAATTGTACAGTGTATTCATGAAAGTGGATCAAATAAAAATGTTCAATCCAAAAGTAACATTCTTTGTTTGTCTGTTAGCATTTTTTATTGATGTAAATCTAACAAGCTAATTCAGAGAATTTGTGTCCCCCGCTTAGGAAAAAAATAAACCATGCGCACTTCGGGGCGGGGGTGGGGGGTCGGATCCCCCTAATTAAATTTGTAGAATTTTTAAATGTATACATGTATACTGAAGCAAATAAAATATGTCAATATTGATATAATGATTTGATTATGTGTATAGAAGGTTCATTTTATGTGGATTATTTATCACAACGTAATGATGATTTTATGAGTTTGTACAAGCTAGACCTCATAATTTTTTTTCATTTCACATGCTGAATACTATCATTAAGTAAAAAAAAGAATTTCGGAAAAGAAAAAAATGATCGTCCGAGAATCGAGCCCGTGACCTCTCGCATGTGAAGCGGTAGACATACCACTGCGCCACGGAACTGCTGTACAATTTCGACCATTATATGCAAATATGAAGTCACATACATGTATATATTCACGTTTGATATCGTCAAAAATTTACACAAAACATGGTGTCTAATTCAACCTTTATTAAACAGTTCTGGTAGATGTGATAGGAATATAAATTCTGCCGAGAACCTGTTTTATACGCAATAACTCTCCTCATGCCCCTGTGCTAAAAATAGCGACATGTAATACTATAAATACTAATAAAACAAACGGGGCGGGACACTTTGAGAGAGGTCCTAGGGAGTTTTGGTATAAAATACATTGCATAAGCTCAAAATCTTCTTGAAATATCGCCCGAAAATGATAGTGTTACACACAGAGAGAATGTATAAATTTACGACCTTTAACTTTGACCTTTTGACCTCAAAATCAATGGGGGTCTTCATAAGGCCACGGGGAGTTGTCATGTAAAATTTCATTGCAATAGCTCAAATGGTTCTAGAGATACTGTGTGGAAAGGAAAGTGTTATAACAGACAGAATTTGTTTATTTATGACCTTGACCTTTGACTTTTTGACCACAAAATCAATAGGGTTCTTTTTTAGTCCAAAGGGAGTAACTGTTGCTTTGCTAAATTTCATTGCAAAAGCTCAGAGGGTTCTCGAGATATCATGTGGAAACGAAAGCGTTCCAGACAGACAGAAAGATGGACGGACGGAAGGACAAACGGACAAACTCGGGAGGGGGGGGTGTGGTTAAACAGGGTACGTTGAGAAAAAAGTTGGGTGGAGGATGTCATCCCCCCTACCCAACCCAAACCTGATGCTACATGCCTGATTGACATGGTTTTACTTTATAATTATGTGAGCTGTCATAGTGACTCTCTTTCATAAACAAGAATTATTGTGAGCAAGCTAATAAAATGATACCAACCCTCCTGCTATTGCATTAAATGTTTTTTTTTTATTACAAAAAAGGTCTAAATACTAATTTGAAACCTTTCAAAATTTTGCTAGTGCAGATATACATACCGAAAATGACTATGACAAATACTCAAGTCATAGGTAGTAAAACCGTTGTGTTGAGCACAAACTTCCAATAAATATGTAAATGTGCAAAACTCATATAGTACACTTTAACTGCAGTGACCTTGAAAAAGCTATGTCCTTGAGTCAAGGGCAAACACGTTCAAATGAATTTTGGTCAAGGTAATGACAAACCTACAGCTTAAAAATAATTCCCAAGATGAAACCAAGTCTTTGCATTAGAATGTTTCAGAATGGGCAAAGGTTGCACTTTTCTTCTATCAATGACCTTGAACTTGTTCAAATGACCTTGAGTCAAGTTTTTGACACATCTCTCGATCGCAAGCAATCTTAATATCAAGTATGAACTTTCAGTGGCACTTCATTGAAATGTTATGGACAAGTCAAAATTTTACATATATATGGATCGGTGAACAAGGTGATTCCTACCCCCCCCCCCCCCTTTTCCAAGTTTCGTTTGTGAGGAATATAAAATTCCTTTTGAAATTGAATGTGCATTTATTTATTAACAATAGTAAAGTTATGAGTATGCTTTGATCAGAACCAATATGGCCAATATAATGGACACTGAACATGTATTCAAATTACCCCCACCCCTTCAAAAAAGCTTATAAATGCCAGATTTTCACACATTTTAACCATTTGTAACGTTTTTCTGCTAAAGTTGCCTGCAAATTTTATTGTATAGAAATGACATATAGATAACCCCTAACAAGATCATACCATTCATTTTTCTAGCAGTGGTTGTAGATTTTGTGAATAAAGTGATAAACATATGTAATTTTTTTCAAAATTAATAAGCATTGACGCCATGTTCTTTTCCCGTTGTCATGGCAACAATATCACTACAGAAATTTTGTTTTTCCTATTTTTGGAGAATAAAGTAATTCCATCTTTTAACAAATAAAGTAACCAAAATACCTTATCTTATCACGTTCAGAAAACATATTCGTAGAAAAATGTCTGAAAAATCATTGATTTTCATAAGGATTTATGAACCCGTTGCTAAGGAAATGAATTTCCTTGGATACCAGTCCCTTCATACGTTCGAAAAAAATTTTAATTGTGTTTTAGCATTAGGTAAGACAAAATCTTTCATATACCAAAAGCTTTTGAAAAAATAAAATTTTGACTTTCCATTCAATGCTCGATGCTTGCTGATTTTGACTCTTAAATGTCTTTCAAATTATTATATATTAACTGGTGCATTTTAAAAAGACAATAAATCTAACCATGTTATTCATCAAAATGTTATGCTATTATTTGTTTGGTAGAAGTATGCACTTATCTGGATTATTTCGCAGGTAGTGCAAGAAAGTGTTTTATTTATAAAGTAGATGCCATTGAACATATAGCAAAAATTTGACAGTTTGATTGATAGCAACTTCATCTTTTCAAGATACCGATATAAGTTACCGTGTTACAATATTGATTTAAGGCCATGTAGCTGCCTGCTCTCTTTGTAATGCATAATCAGTTAATAGCTAGTTTTAAAGTGCACATTAAAATTGAAATCGCATAGATTGCAATTTTTTTCCCAGCTTGTCCGCTTAGAGAAAACCTAGTTTAATAGTTGGGTTACCAAGAGGTGTGCTTGTTTTGTGGATATTTTGCTTTATCTACATTTTGGGTATTTATTTCTTGATAACGGAAAACACTTCAAGTGTATATTATTTATCTCATTGTGTACCCAAAATTAAAATGTTTACTCTCACTTCAGTGAAATCCTTTGATATCCACTAAACAATTGTTTGGCTGAAAGTTAAATCTCTCTCTCTCTCTCTTACACAATGTAAATCATACCTATATTTAACTATCTATCATCTTTGCAACAATAATACTTGCTTCATTGAAAGAAATAACAAATTTAAAGCTGGATCTTATTTTTTATCATATATTAGTATATTACACATGAAATTTGAGACAATTTAACATGATCGAAGAATTAAATTGCAATGTATAGGTGTGTTCATGAAGTTACTTTTGAATATGTTGAATAAAAATCCTTTGAACCCAATGTGTAGAAAACAAAATATTCTTTTGATTCTGATGTTAAAAAAATCTAATGATGATATCTGCTAAGTTAGGTATACACTCACTGCTGTAACTTAATAACTTAGTACTTTGCTTTTCAGCAAAAAACTTTTGCTGGGTTTGTTACAAATTTAAGTTGCAGCTGTACAGTTTCAGAGGAAGGAATAATCATTTTGTTGAACATTTTGAATTCTTTCTTTCAGTAAGAGAAGACAGCTAGATGTAGTACAATTCTTTTTCCTTAGTAAATGGATGCCATATTTTTTTTTTAAATATTTAGAAGGAAAGGAAATGAATGCCAATTTTTTTTTTTTAATATTTGCAAGGAAAGAAAACTATAAACTTTAAGTTAGAGGAGTTCTATAAAATTGTAATCAATGTCCTATAAGTTAATTAAAATTAAATTCATGAGAGATAGTTCAGAATTGTAATTGTTTATTTTGTAGAAGAACCAGAGGATACCCCTCCAACAAAAGTTGAAGCCGGGACCAGTCCCTTGGAACAAGAGGAGGAGGCTACTACAACAAAAACTGAAGTAGGGACCAACCCCCCAGACCAGGAAGAGGAGCTTCCTGAGAGAGTGGACACAGGGACTGACCCCCTGGATCAAGAAGAGGAGGGTCCTTCCCAAGCAACCATGGAGGAGCCGGCTAGCAAAACGACAGACCTCAGTCAAAGAGGTTCCCGAAATCTGGCCCAGATAGATGGGGAGGAGGTGGATACCAGTAAAATGAAATATGTCGGTTAGTTATTTGATTTTTTTTTGTATGACAGCATCTTTTTATTTCCAAAAGAGCTTTTGCATCCTTCTCATTGTTGAGTTGGAAATATATAAACTTGATAATTTGTAAGATTTCCTTTCTGAAATAATGTGAAATATCAAGAGGAGGATTCCACTTTTAATAAGCAACAGCTGATATGGTCAAGTTTCCTCAGAAAGTAAAATTGAGACGTGCTGCTCTTCTATATTAAATCAAACATGTTTGATTTTTACTTCAACAACAGAGGGAGTTCAGTGTGCCAGAGTGGATGTCATGGATACAGGGTTCACAGTGCCAGAGGTCATCATCATGGAAGGTCAAGGTGTTTTGTTTGAAAAAGGAGGGAGAAAGACCTTGGAGATTGTTCAGGTTATAAATATTTCCAAGTTATTTGGTTTACCGGTGCTTTAATTTTTGGTCCTCTGAAGTTTCCCAATAAAGACTTTACTGTTATTGAATAAGTCTTTGATTGATTTGGTTACTTAGGTGATTCATGATGGTGACAACCTGAGACCTGTGATTGGTGGATTTGGTTCCAAAGATGCCAAGGTCAAGGACAAACAAGACAACTATATACAGCAATTCAATTTAGAAGGAGAATATAAATTTGCAGTGTAAGTTTAAAGATAAAAATCAATTTTTGATCTACAGTCAAATCTCATTATGTCTAACTCAATGGGACTGAGAAAAGGTAGTGAGATATCCAAGGATTCAAGATATCCAGAATAAAATACTGAAGAAATAAGAGGTTGAGACTTCATAATCACTTTGACATTTCCATAATATTCCAGATATCAGTGTTCAAGATATCCAAGTTGGACTGTAGTTTTAAACTAGCATTTAGGGAAAGGTTGAGGGATCCATTCAGAGTACAACTTAATTTGAATCTAGCTTAGTTTTCAACAGTTACTTTTTCATTTAGGTCTAAGATACGCTGTACCCCCCTGACTGTAATTGTAAGACGTCGTCTGCCGTTGAGGGCAGGCGTGACAGACGAAGGATTTAACCCCCAGATCATTGCGGTCGACCAGGGGGACACGGTTGAGTGGTCGTGGAAGGACTGTACTGTGCCCCACTCCGTACAGGAAGTGAATTATCTGTTTGATAAAGGAGTGTTTGTCAAAACTCAGTGGCCAGATGGGGCAAGGTTGGTGTTTTATGTCGGAAAAAAATCTCTAAAGAATTATACTTATATACTTAAATCAAATTAATTTGTTGTGACTTATTTATAAGTACTATGTAAGTTCTTGGTATGTTTTCAACCTACAAGGAATAAATTCTTGAATTCATTTGAGGCATGGCATCTTTGCTGTAACCATGTTTTACTGTAGTAATCTCTGTCATATTTTTACTGTATTTATTTATGAAGAAAAAATTCATTCTCAAACACTAATTGCTTATAAAATAATCATTATGTTAAATTTTGTGATACAGACATATATGAAACATATTACTACTTTAAGATATCTTTTATACATTTTATTTCAATGATCTAACAAATAATTTTCCATCTTGTACATCTAATGATCACAGCAATATTTTTTTCCAGCAATGTTGTAAGAACGATCACAGGAAACTTCTCCAAAAAATTTCTGTAAGTTTGATTTATATATGTATAACTGTATCTTATTAATTTTTAGGAAAAGCAATTATTGTACATGATGCATTTTGAATGTGAGAAAGAAAAATTCATAAAACAATAATTGATTTTTTTTCTTTTATCAGCCGTCCAGGAATATACTTTTTCCAAACAGAAAGCTCAGAGCTTCACAAGCAACATTTCTGTGTGGTCAGAGTCAGGCAAAGTATCAGGTAATTAAACAGTTATCTATTGACAAAAATAATGACTGTACAATAATATCTTTGTGGTGCCAAATTTTCTTGGTTTTAAAAGAAATATTTGTTCAGAGGGATTTTATTTTGTGGTTGAAAAAGGTAAACTTGTCATGTAACAGTATATTTCACTTTGGTATTTGAAATTTAACTTTTCAAGGAGGAATATAATTTGTGAGCCTTTTCAGAACAAGAAAATGGCAAAAATTAAACCGACATGGAAATAATTAATATACCGTAAGTCTGGAAATTTTTGCTGTAGATAAATTTATAGCAAATTTGCGAGTTCATTACATTCGCAAAAATATTTTTCTTAAAAATAAATCACCAATAAGAAAATGTAAACAAAGAAGTGGTCATTCGCAAAATTTTGAAACGTAAAAATTAATCAACAGCATTTTTACCCGAATTCGCAAAATAAAATCGATGTAAAAATTTCCAGATTTACGGTACTAATTAGAGCATAAGTCACAGCATTTCATTCATTTTGATACATTTGGTTACCCACCACAGGGAGTATAAGGTGGAGATATCAGACCGGGCCTTCCATTCCCCTCTGTTACTGATTATTATTTATTACAGGGAGTATAAGGTGGAGATATCAGACTGGGCCTTCCATCCCCCGTGTTACTGATTATTATTTATTACAGGGAGTATAAGGTGGAGATATCAGACTGGGCCTTCCATCCCCCAGTGTTACTGATTATTATTTATTACAGGGAGTATAAGGTGGAGATATCAGACCGGGCCTTCCATCCCCCGTGTTACTGATTATTATTTATTACAGGGAGTATAAGGTGGAGATATCAGACTGGGCCTTCCATCCCCCAGTGTTACTGATTATTATTTATTACAGGGAGTATAAGGTGGAGATATCAGACTGGGCCTTCCATCCCCCAGTGTTACTGATTATTATTTATTACAGGGAGTATAAGGTGGAGATATCAGACTGGGCCTTCCATCCCCCGTGTTACTGATTATTATTTATTACAGGGAGTATAAGGTGGAGATATCAGACCAGGCCTTCCATCCCCCCGTGTTACTGATTATTATTTATTACAGGGAGTATAAGGTGGAGATATCAGACTGGGCCTTCCATCCCCCCGTGTTACTGATTATTATTTATTACAGGGAGTATAAGGTGGAGATATCAGACTGGGCCTTCCATCCCCCCGTGTTACTGATTATTATTTATTACAGGGAGTATAAGGTGGAGATATCAGACTGGGCCTTCCATCCCCCCGTGTTACTGATTAATATTTATTACAGGGAGTATAAGGTGGAGGTATCAGACTGGGCCTTCCATCCCCCCGTGTTACTGATTATTATTTATTACAGGGAGTATAAGGTGGAGATATCAGACTGGGCCTTCCATCCCCCAGTGTTACTGATTATTATTTATTACAGGGAGTATAAGGTGGAGATATCAGACCGGGCCTTCCATCCCCCGTGTTACTGATTATTATTTATTACAGGGAGTATAAGGTGGAGATATCAGACTGGGCCTTCCATCCCCCAGTGTTACTGATTATTATTTATTACAGGGAGTATAAGGTGGAGATATCAGACTGGGCCTTCCATCCCCCCGTGTTACTGATTATTATTTATTACAGGGAGTATAAGGTGGAGATATCAGACCGGGCCTTCCATCCCCCAGTGTTACTGATTATTATTTATTACAGGGAGTATAAGGTGGAGATATCAGACTGGGCCTTCCATCCCCCAGTGTTACTGATTATTATTTATTACAGGGAGTATAAGGTGGAGATGTCAGACTGGGCCTTCCATCCCCCATGTACTGATTATTATTTATTACAGGGAGTATAAGGTGGAGATATCAGACTGGGCCTTCCATCCCCCGTGTTACTGATTCTTATTTATTACAGGGAGTATAAGGTGGAGATATCAGACTGGGCCTTCCATCCCCCATGTACTGATTATTATTTATTACAGGGAGTATAAGGTGGAGATATCAGACTGGGCCTTCCATCCCCCGTGTTACTGATTCTTATTTATTACAGGGAGTATAAGGTGGAGATATCAGACTGGGCCTTCCATCCCCCCGTGTTACTGATTATTATTTATTACAGGGAGTATAAGGTGGAGGTATTAGACCGGGCCTTCCATCCCCCAGTGTTACTGATTATTATTTATTACAGGGAGTATAAGGTGGAGATATCAGACCGGGCCTTCCATCCCCCAGTGTTACTGATAGAGACCGGGGACAGGGTCTGGTGGTATTGGGACAAATTTAAGGTAGATTTAATTTTACAAAATATATATAAATAATATAATTAATTGAAAAAAATGTGTTTCTTATCCTGTATTAATCATAAAAACTGTAGTAAAATTTCAGATTTCAAAAAAGTTTTCATTTTTAATTTGTAAAGAGACCACATAATTAAAATTTCAGACACAATGACAATTTTTTTATTTTTATCAATTTTTCGCAGTGCAAGAAACACCATTGTGTATACCAGATAGAGGCTCCGACCTTAAACCAGGATGATGAGGAACCGTATCAACCGGTTCAGAATGGCTTCAGGTGGAGTCAACCAAGGTAGGGGAAATACTGTAAACATAGTCAACCAAGGTAGGGGAAATACTGTAAACATACTTAGTCATCCAAGGTAGGGGAAATACTGTAAACATACTTAGTCATCCAAGGTAGGGGAAATGCTGTAAACATACTTAGTCATCCAAGGTAGGGGAAAATACTGTAAACATACTTAGTCAACCAAGAAAGGGGAAATACTGTAAACATACTAGATCAACCAAGGTAAGGGAAATACTGTAAACATACTTAGTCATCCAAGGAGTTGGAAATACTGTATGCATTTTTAGTCAACCAGGGTAGGAGAAGTACAGTAAATATGCATAATCAACCACTGGTAGGCAGAATATTGTAAACATTCTAAGTCAACCAAGGAAGGGGGAATACTGTTACCATAATTAGTCAACCCAGGAAAATTACTGTAAACATACTTGTTCAAACATTGGAGGGGAAATACTGTAAATGTACTCAGTCAACCAAGGTAGGGGAAATACTGTATATAAACACATAAATCCAAAGGATTATAAGTTTCTTGAAAAAAAAATGCTTGAAAAAAAGAGAGGTGTCTAACATTATATCTCCAGAATGTTGTCATTAATATTGAAGAAATGACTCATCATGCAATATCTGTGAGTTAATAAATGAACTGTTTTGAACTATTTTCCAGTAAGCAGGGTCTGCTGTCCCACGTGTTTACAGAGCCTGGTGTGTTCTATTACTCTGATCAGAACTTCCAGGAGGCAGCGGAGTACATTGGTACTGTGATCGTCAAACCCAAACCAAAGGAACACAGGGTAATGATCAAAGAAGACGGGTTTGAACCAGGTAAGGCCACAGTAAATTTAAAGTGCAGCTCAATTCAAATAAAACTTAAGGATAGGAACTGTGAAATCACAAATTTTCATGTGGTATAATTTTCGTTGTTTACGTGGCATGAAGAGAACCACAAATTCATATCCCTTACGAAAATTACGAACTGTTTTATAATTCCTTTCTTTTAACCAAGAAATCAAAATCCCATTGAACTAATAATTTTTCCAGAAACCACAAAAATTTGATCCGAAGGTAAAAAGTGATTTTACATTATAAAATCTTCCATCATATTATTTTTTATGCCTTTTAATTTGAACAGATGTTGTAAGAATCAGAACAGGGGAGAGAATCTGGTTTTGGTGGAACCCCATTCTGTTTTCTAAGAAAAATGTCCCTGTTTTACTGAGGGAGGTAGAAAAATGTCTGAATCCAGCAACGAAGCGACCCTCCACTCCAGAGGATGAATGTAAGTCAACAAGATGATCTTAAACACTGTAGAAAAAAGTTCACAAGCTCCAAAGGTTTTAAATATCCAACTATTTATGTTGGCATATTTCGTACTGCAGTCTTTAATGCATAATATAGATCAGCATTCTATTTATTGGTATCTTTTTATTTACAGCTAAATACCAGCACCCAGATGAAGAGACTGTTAAACTGATCACAGATGTGGGATTTGCGACAGTTTTTTATTCCACAACAGGAGTGTATCAGTACAGGGTACGGAACTCGACGGTGTGTTCGGTGATCGTCAGCCCAGGAGAAAAGGTTAGTGTCGTATAGAGTTTTTAGCTCACCTCAACGAAGTTGGGGGGAGCTTATGTGATACCCTCGGCGTCGGTGTCGGCGTCAGCGTCCCAGGTTAAGGTTAAGTTTTTTGGAGCAGTTTTCTTTTTAATTACTTCTGTGTCCTATACTGATTAGACATGCATGGAAGATGTTTCTAGTGTGCTTCACTGTACCAGTCAAAGATTCAGATGCTGCAATTTCAGCAAAGGAATTACCAGGTTAATGTTTTTGGAGCAGGTTAACATTTTTGGTGCAGTTTTTGGTGTGGGTTTCATTTCCAAGTAACTATAAGCCCTATTTTGACCAAACTTGCATGGGTGATACATCTAAGGATGCATACTACCGGGCTTGCTTCGGATGCTGAATCTGACCTACATTTTCCGGTTGAGTGAACAGGTTAAAGTTTTTGGTGTAGGTTTCATTTCCAAGTAACTATAAGCCCTATGTTGACCAAACTTGCATAGATGATACATCTAAGGATGCATACTACCGGGCTTGCTTCGGATGCTGAATCTGACCTACATTTTCCGGTTGAGTGAACAGGTTAAAGTTTTTGGTGCAGGTTTCATTTCCAAGTAACTATAAGCTCTATGTTGACCAAACTTGCATGGATGATACATCTAAGGATGCATACTACTGGGCTTGCTTCGGATGCTGAATCTGACCTACATTTTCCGGTTGAGTGAACAGGTAAAAGTTTTTGGTGTAGGTTTCATTTCCAAGTAACTATAAGCCCTATGTTGACCAAACTTGCATAGATGATGCATCTAAGGATGCATACTACCGGGCTTGCTTCGGATGCTGAATCTGACCTACATTTTCCGGTTGAGCGAACAGGTTAAAGTTTTTGGTGCAGGTTTCATTTCCAAGTAACTATAAGCCCTATGTTGACCAAACTTGCATGGATGATACATCTAAGGATGCATACTACCAGGCTTGCTTCGGATGCTGAATCTGACCTACATTTTCCGGTTGAGTGAACAGGTTAAAGTTTTTGGTGCAGGTTTGATTTCAAAGTAACTATAAGCCCTATGTTGACCAAACTTGCATGGATGATACATCTAAGGATGCATACTACCGGGCTTGCTTCGGATGCTGAATCTGACCTACATTTTCCAGTTGAGCGAACAGGTTAATGTTTTTGGTGCAGGTTTCATTTGCAAGTAACTTTAAGCCCTATGTTGACCAAACTTGCATGGATGATACATCTAAGGATGCACACTACCAGGCTTGCTTCGGATGCTGAATCTGACCTACATTTTCCGGTTGAGTGAATAGTCAAAAGTTTTTGGTGCAGGTTTCATTTCCAAGGAACTATGAGTTCTTTAATGACCAATCTTGCATAGATGATACATCTAAGGATGCATACTTCCAGGCTTGCTTCGGATGCTGAATCTGAACTACTTTTTGTGGATGAGTGAAAATGTTAGTTTTGAGGCATGTTTCATTTCCAATAAACTATGAGCCCTATAATGAGCAAACTTGCATGGATGATACATCTAAGGATGCACACTAATGGACTTGCTTCGGATGCTGAATTGGACATACATTTTTCAGATAATAGACAAGGTAAAAGTTATGGTTGCAGGTCTATTACCAAAAACTATAAGGCTTAATATATGATATTGTATAAACCAAACTTGCACAAATACTGCATCAAGAGATGAAAACTCCCAAATTTGCTTCAGATGCTGGATTTTCATTACATTTTCATGAAGGAGAAGTAGTTTAAATTTTTTATGTAGGTCTATTTCAAAGTATCAGATCAAAATTGCTTTTAAAAATGTTTTCATATACCCTGGAATGTATACTTTTTGTTGGTTAATTGTGTGACTTTGCCTTACTTAAAGACAACATTCGTTGAGGTGAGCTCTGTAATCTCTGATTACCTATGTTTTCCCTTATAAAGGGCCAATGCATTATTGCAGCTTTCATTATATGTAAAAAAAAAAATCAATATCTTTAAAAATTGATTTACAAAAATATTCAAGAAAAAAATTTTGGGGGTCATTTAGATACGTCTTTGATTTTTCTTTTATTTTAAGCATAAATAATATTTTCCTGTTCTTATTCTTAGAATCACACGATTCACCTGACAGACAGTGGACCGGAACAGAAGGTCATCATGTCGGTCCGACCCAATGACCGGGTCTGGTGGGTTTGGCAGAGCACTAAGAAGCAGCACAATGTCATACAGGTGTCCCATCAGGGCGACCCTATCCCCGGGGGGTTCTGCAGTGGCATGCCTCGCGACTCACCCTCAGCATTCGTACATACTTTCGAATTTCCAGGAGTGTTTTACTATAAAAGGTGAGAAAAGATCGCTTTATATGTTAGGTTGTAGGTACAAATGTAATTGTTTTTTTTTTTAGAATTGCTACTTTTTTGTCAAAAAAAATCATTAAATCTATATAAATTGATGGTAGAACAGTATATAGATTTATACATTTCATCCTCTTAGTTAGAAAGTGTCCACATATGAAATATTCAAATATCGATTTAACAAAAGAAAATTTTACATTCTGTAGTCAAAGTTTACCAAAGGTATTTGGAGCCGTGGTGGTGACTACACAGCCAGTGGTTCACGAAGTGGAGGTGGGGCCCATCATACGACCTGACCCCATCTCAGTCAAAGTTCACGACATTGTGTGCTGGATCTTCAGCAAACCACAGAAAGAGAACGTGCTCGAAATCACCCACCCTGACCAAGTTACACCTGACCTGCAGTG